CACACCATTTAATGTAAAACCGGAACCACTAATAGGCGTTTTACAAGACTCTAAAACACTAATATCTTTTTAAATTTATATTGAATTTTTAGAATTTTCAATTAAATTATTATGCAATTTTTTTACTCTTTAATATAGTATATTTAATTTAAGTTTTTAATCGTTTTAAATTTTTTTGTAACATACCTATTAAATATATATAATATATAATATATATATATATATATATATATATATATATATATATATATATATATATATATATATATATATATATATATATATATATATATATATATATATACATATATATATATATATATGTATTAAAGAAAGTTATATGCAATTTAGATTTTTTTAAAAATTTCAATGATTGATATAATAAAAATATTAAACAGTTTTTTAATAAATCTTCTGAGTTGCACTCGTCTAGTATGAAAGGTACAAAGTAAACATTTGATCAAAATACTTAAAAACCAAAACAACTGAAAACAAAACAATATACAAAAATTATACTAAACAATTTGAAAATAATAAAAAAAAAATGCAAAAGAAAAATGCTATTTCAATTTGCTAGAGAAACATAAACTTAATTCAAAACGCACTTGGCAAATTATAAGTGAAATCACGGGCAAACAAAACTTAAAACCGTGTTCTCTACCTAAAGCTACTAAAATTAATGATAAAATAATAGACGGTCCTAAAGAAATAGCAAATGAACTAAATAAATAATTTGTTTCTGTTGGACCTAATCTTTCAAAAATCATTCCAAATATGATAAATCCAATCAATAATTATGAATTTTCTCTAACCTCTGGTCTAAGTGCCATTGAACTATCATTTTCAGAATTTGAAAATGCTTTCAAAATGCTTAAGCCCAATAAAGCAATTGGCCTAGATGATTTAAATGGAAACATTGTTATTAAGTCATACGATAATATAAAGAATACTCTATTTAAAGTTCTTAATTATTCATTAAGTCAAGGAATTTTTCCGGCTCAAATGAAGGTTGCAAAAATGACCCCTATATATAAAGGTGGTGAACAAACAAATGTTGGAAATTATCGTCCAATTTCAGTTTTGTCAGTTTTTTCCAAAATTCTTAAAAGAATTTTATTTGATCTAATTTTTAATCATCTCTCTAAAAATAATATGTTTTACAACAATCAGTACGGTTTCAAAAAAAAAAATAACTCTACAGAACATGCAGTACTTTAACTCACAAGAATTATTACTGACTTCTTCGAAAAATCACAATTTCCTTTAGGTATTTTTATAGACCTATCTAAAGCCTTTGATACTATTAATCACGCCATTCTCATAAATAAATTAGAACATTACGGTATCACTGGTAAAGTCTTAATGTTATTAAAAAGTTACTTAAATAATTGTAAGCAATTCATGCATATTGATACACACTCAACAACTACTGCTTTAGATATATCCTGAGTCCCCCAGGGTTCCATACTTGGACCACTGTTATTTCTAATTTATATTAATGACTTCTATAAAACTTCTAATTTAATGACAATAATGTATGCTGATGATACTAATCTTTTCTTATCCCGAAATAACATCAATAACTTATTTAATGACATGAATGTAGAACTAAAGAAAATATCTGACTGGTTTAAATCAAATAAGCTTTCACTTAATATTGAAAAAACTAATTGGATTCTTTTTCATTCAGCTTATAAAAAGCATATACTACCAAGTGAAATGCCGCCGCTTTTCATTGATAAAATTAATATAAAAAGAGTAACTTATACTAAATTTTTAGGTATTGTTGTGAATAAAAATCTTTCATGTAAAAACCACATTGGAAATCTAAATAATAAAATTGCAAAAAGTATTGGGATTCTATATAAAACAAGAAGCCTTTTAAATAAACATACTTTAATTTAACTATATTACTCATTAATTCACTGCCATATTAACTATGCTAATATTGCCTGGGGTAGTACCAACAAAATTTAGTTAAAGCCTTTGCTTTGTCAACAGAAGCATGTAGCACGTCTTAATAATTTTAAAGATCGTTTTACTCATGCCAGGCCTTTATTATTAAACATGAATATTCTTAATATTTACGAGGCAAAAATATTTAACGTACTTTGTTTTATGTTTAAATGCAAAACTAATGCATGTCCTGTTTCTTTTCATAATTTAATTCAATGAAAGAAAAAAATAAATATATATAAAGAAATAATAAACATATCCAACAACCAATTTTTTAATCATATATAGGCAAATCTTGCATTCAATACCGTGGAGCCTTTTTATGGAACAAAATAGTTTTAAAACATTTTGATTTTTCGCATAATTGGAATTATTTTTCTTTTAAAAGAAAACTAAAAGAAGTAATTTTTTCAATTGATAACATATTTTTACATTTTGAAGTCATTAACTATTCCACAAAATAATTAAGGAATTGTAATCTGAACGACAATATTTTTTAGATTACATATTATATATTGACATTACATATATACTGATGAAAACTGATGTAATTTTTCAAGCTTTTGTTTGCTTTTTTTGTTTGTTTGTTTGTTTTTTGCATAATATTAAATATTGAGAAATATTATATATGTATTCACATATATTATAAAATATTGTTAAAACTTTCTTAACATCTAAAGAGTATTATAATATATAAACGCGTTTAAAAATTGTTTTAAATATTTGTAAAGGGCTTCATGATAAAATCGTGTGATCTTCTGGAAGTCCTACCAGTAATATATTCAATGTAAATTTACCTTGTACATATTATTCTGGAAAAAAAATAAATAATTATAATATTATATTGCTTAAATTATAAATGCTTTTTAATTATTTGATTAACTACCCCCACCCCTACCATTTTTCAAATTTAAAAATATGGTTGTTTTACTCCAAGTTTTAACCGAATGCAGATAAAGATAATACATATTACTTTTTTATTTCAACAACAGACAAGTAGTTTAATTAAAATATTGCAAACATAGCGACGTAATCTAAAGATTATTTATACAGCAAGCAGTTAAAGTAAAAAAAAAAAAATTATTTCCAAATAGTCTCATTGTTTCCAAATAGCCCCAATTTACGGCATCCCCGAAAAGTATACTTGAAATTTAGGTTTATTTCGGTTTTGTCGAGTTTCCTGTTTTGGTCTATCAATCATTTCAAGGACCAAAGTTATGGAATTTTTTTCAAAAAAATAATTCAAATATGGTAAAGTTATTAAACTCATTTGATTCTCAAGCAATAAAACATATTTTTTATGTTGCGGACTAATAACTCCAAAAATTAGTAAATAAAATTATTTAAATAAACTTTAGTTGTTAATCTCAGTAGTTATAACAGTTCCGACCTTAGGTCATTAGAGGCCCAAGGCAAAGTGAAAACAGGTGGCCTGAAATAAAAAATAAATTTCTATCCAAACGCAAAGAGGCCGAATAAGGGACAAAAGCCCGAGAGAGTAGCAGGGCTGGAGCTTGTTCCTCGTAATATTACTTTGATTAAATTTGAACCAATTTTTCCGAAAATATTGAAATTTTGTATTAAACTAGAAATTATTTAAATAAAAAGAGCTTGTCGTCCCAATTCTATTACTTGTTTATCCATAACTATTTAAATTATGCAAATATTACCTGGGACTAGTACTAGTACTAATAAAAATAGATTGAAACGTCTTTGTAACCGTTAGAAGCACGGAGTTTGTATTATTAATTTTGCGGATCGTCTATCTCATTCGAAGCCTTTATTCAACGAAATGAGATTTTTTAATATATATGAATTAAATGTATTTAATCTTATGTTTTGTATATATGTGGAAAAATAATTTAGTTCTCAACGTTTTTAAAAATATCTTTACTTTAAAACTTATCAAAAAATATACCCTAAGAAATAATGATTTGCTAAACCAAATTTTTTGTCAAACCAAGTTTAATCAGTTTTGTATTGATTATCGTGCACCATGTCTTTTTGAATAAGGTTATTTTGAAAAATTTTGATTTGCCTTCTTCTTACCCTGTTTTGAAAGCTAAACTTTTAAAATGAAACTTGTCCATGAAAAGTATAAAAATTTTATACTTTTCATGGACAACTTACTTATGAACTACTAATAATAACATTTTGAAATTGTTAACTTTCTATTATTACTAAGCAATTTATTTTACTGTTTATATTAAGTCATTTTACTTTGTTTATATTTTTTCGTATTAGTCTATATACTTTATAAAATGTCTATATACTTTATAAAAAATTATTTCATATTTATTTTATATACTTTATACAAATTTCTTTCATCATTTTAAGAAGATTATGAGTTTATTTTATCTCGTTATTGTAAAAAGTTTATTGATGCATTAAAAAAAAAACGACTTATTATATTGTCATCAGAACCTTATTCTGATGGCAAGAACTTCGTGATCTTTTTTCAGTTACCTTGTTTATATAGTTTATCATTGTCAATTTGTGAAAGGTAATTGTTATTATTATTTTTTATTATTATCATACTTAATTGTACAACGACAAACTAATGTAAACAAAAAGAAAAACGAAAAAACAATCAAAAAAAATAATTTTCTTTGTTCTTTTCCGCCCCTAAAAAATGTGATTTACCACATGCATAAAGACAAAGGTCTGCTAAATAGAGGGGAAGAAAGTGATTAAGGACCGATCCTAATTGGAATTTTTGGGATGTCCTACTTCTGCCGCGTCCCTCTTCTTCCCACTCTCCCCCATTGTTTGCACGGAACATAGTGCAAATTTACTTAAAGATATTTTAAAATAAGATACAACTAAATAATATTAATAAAAAAATATTTTTTAAGTTGTAATGTTTCCTTAAAATTGTTTTTAAATAAAAAATATTACCTTATAGTGTTTGTTATAATAATCAAAAAATGTCTACAAAATTTAGACAAAGTATTCGGATAATAATAATTTTGTTAATGACGTTTTTTAATTAATACAACAAACACTAAAATTAAAGCATCAGTTTAATGTTGTTTTTTTAAACAACCTGTTTACTCTTATATTATCAATTTAACATAATAAATAATACTAAAAGAATGATGGAAGAATTTTCTAGCTCAAAGCTTGGTACAGAAAGTTTGTAAGATATTAAATTGTTGATTGTTATGTACAACATAAAGTGTATTTTTTTTTATCAAACGTACAGTCAGCTTTTCATGTTTTTCATGTGCATTTCCTAAAGTAAATAAGCTAAGCAAAAAATATTGAATTTTTTTTTGTGATAAAATATGTTCTTGCTTTTCAAAGAGTATATTTAAAATAATGATATTTGAAGTTCAAGTTATTCAAATTTCAGTTATTTATTTTGTATATACTTGCACCATTAATTTTTTAACAGCTATATTAACAGCACCAAATTTCTTATTAATTTTATTTAGTTCTTAGGATAAAACATAATAGCCATATTCTAGATGTATCTTTGAATTTTTTTTTTAGTTATATTGGAATGATATTAAAGATTAAATTCATCATTTTTTAGTAGAAAGATCTTGAACATTTTTTAATTTTTTTTAAATAAAGAAATTAACCTGAAATTTATTAAATACTTTTAGTAGTCTACTAAATATTTGCTTAATACAACTAAACCCTGAGTTTTACTGTAATGATAGATTGCTCTAGAGAAATATAATCAATTTCAGTTTAATAGAAATTTTTCATTTTAAGGTATTGTTGATTTAAAGTTTTTAGAATTCATTATAGAATTTTAATCCTAATAATTTATTTGATGATTTATGTCATCTGTCAAGTTGTTGGAGGCTATGGGAAACAGGGAAAGAAGGAAAGAAGAAATATAGTTTAAAAATCTTGCAAGTACAGACAAACCAAGATAAAGATGTTTAAATGTTAATTTTCTTTTTGAGTTGAATAAACTATGTGAATACTTCGTGGCTTTTGAAAATATGTCACCGATTTTTTAGTGATAACTTATTAAAATTATTTTCAAGCTTTTTAAAAAAATGTGAAAAAAGAAGTGTGGTTTTTTTATTTTTGTTTGAAATACATTAAAGAAACCAAGATAATAAAAAAAATTTATTTCAATAAGAGAATCAAGTAAAAAAAATACATAATTGATAATCTATCTCTTACTCAGATAGTTAACATCGTAACTTGTTTTCCAGACAACTTTAATCGCTTAACTTCACTCCTTGATTTATGTCTTATTTCTTACCCTAGCTTGTGTTCAGTTTCTCTTTTTTCTCCTTGAGATGGTTCCGACTATGCAACTATCTCTATAA